TTGTTGTGGTGCACTAAAAAGGTCTGAAGTTTCAATGGGGTCTATTCACTAAGCTGCCGAGGGCAGCCGAGTGAATGACCGATCTGAAGTGAAGTGAGCCAAACACTATTCGGCTATTCACTTCAGGCTGGTACGGCTGATTTCAACCGTACATCAGCTGAAATCAGCCGTACATCGGCTTGCTTCGCGTGGCTTCGGGTCGGCCGAACATGCTCAGCATGTTCGGCCGACCCGAAGTGCAGAAGGAGTTCGACTCAGCCGATCCAACATCTGGATCGGCTGAGCCGAACCTCCGGCAGGCTTCTCACTGCTGTTCGGGCTATTCTTAAAGATGCCGAACAGCAGTGAGTGAATAGCTGAATGCCGCTGAGCGGCATTCGGCTCGGCTGTTCTGCTCGGTCCCTCAGACGGACCGAGCAGAACAGAAAAAGAGTGAAAAAAGTTTTAAAAAAGTAAATAGAAAACGATTGTGTGGAGCTAGCAGTGACATTTCAATTTGCAATAGGCAATAGTAAACTAGCATTGTACCCGCCTTCTGCTGATGGACCTGATGGGGAACTGCAGCAGAGGGCGGGTACAATGCTAGTTTACTATTGGCTATTGCAAATTGAAATAGCCAATAGTAATGTCCCAATGCTTTTCAATGGGAAAATTATAATTTTTTTTCTATTCTGACATCGCGTGTCAGAATAAAGAAAAAAAGACACAGCAGTGTTTCTCTCCTTGGCGGCCGGGAGGAGAGTTTGCTGTTTGGAGATCAGTGTCCCTGGTTAGCAGGTAACCAGGGATGCTGATCTCTCTGAAAGTGGCCGGAGCTAGCCGTAAGATCACGGCTGGCTCCGCCCAGCTGTCAGAAGCAGGCTGTCGGCCGGCCAAATGGCGGCCGCTCGGCCAGCTTCGGCTTTCAGCACGCCCAGCCCAATGTCTGTATCACTATGGATACAGTAGGGAATGGTTAAAACTCTTGTCAGATTCTTTTATGCCATCTATCTCTGAATGAGGAGATTTAATTTCACTTAATGTACTATAGACACCATAGAATGTGAGTGGAAATCTCTCAAATGTGAGGGGATATCCCCCTCAAGGTGTCCATACACTTTACAACCTTCGCAAAACTTTTGTCTTGCGAGGATTGTAAAGTAATAAAAAAAAAGTACGATCGGCCCATCTTGGACAGGCAGATCGTACTTGCGATGACTGCAAACGGGCAGCGTGCGCGTGCGCACACCGGCCCGTTCGGCAGTTGTCGAAGGAAGACGTGCGACCGTACAGTAGAAAAACGGTTGCACGCCTTCCATACATTTTGCGATTATCGCAAATGTATGGAATCTCGGGATTTCCCGCGATTATCGTACGATAATCGTACAGTGTATGGGCACCCTTAGACAGTTGTCACCAGGAGTGTCCACATTAAATTACTTGCCTTCCATGCCTGCTCCGGTAACAACTCAAAACTTTGGATTTTGCCTCACTTTCAGTCCAAGAAACAGGTCTCACCTGGTCAACTAGACAGAGTCCTCAGTGAGGACACAAACAACAATAAAAACAAGGATTCTAACACCTCACTGCTTAACTACTTACAGTTTTGACTTACATAGATACATTTTAAAAGTCAGCTGTAATAATGAAGTAGTGTGTAGAAGTGCAGATGAGCTAACACTACTGTTATCCAAGAGACACAAAGTTTTAGCGCTTGTTGCAGATATTATTTAAAAAAATTAGAAAAAATACTGTCCTTGCACATGATTGGGTATTTTATGCAAACATATACTAAGCTAAGTAAAAATTTCCCTGCAAAGTGAACATACGCTACTCCTTTAGTGCTGGTTCACACCTGACCGTGTGTGACATGTGACATGCGTGCAGCTATAGTAATGTCCCATGCGTGCAGAAGGTGTGAACCAGGCCTTAGTGAATGAACTCCACTGTGCATAATGGGACTTGTCAACAGCACATAGGGATATTAGTGTACAAGCCCAGCTAGACAACTTGGCACTTAAGTCCTGCCAACACCCTAATCTGCCAACAGGAACATTCAATCCAGCTGGAGAAACCGTCCCAGATTTCACAATTAACATCAATAAATATTCCTGAGGGCGCAACATATGAAAAGATCAAAATAATACATGAAAATGTACTGACAAACACAAAACCATGAGGCCGAGACTGTAAGCGCTTACCATTAAGGAAAGAAAAATTGCAAAGAAATCTTCAAGTGGAACGTCACGCAGAAAAAGCCCCGCTCCTCCTTGAGTGACTTAACATAATGATATTGGAGGTTTTATAGTGTTTTTCGTTTTTTCAAGGTGTCATAGTATATTCTCATTTTAACATAATGCTCTTATTTCCATTGTGTTATCTGGCTTTGTTTATGAGAGTGTTTTACTATTTGACTTTTTTTTTTATAAACTGTTTGACTATATTGTACCACGAGGAATTGTTACTCTTGTTTATTGTAAGAGCAGTAAAAGTTTTTACAGTGCCGTTGAACTGTCGTAATGCTGAATCCTCAGGATTTAGGAGCAGAGTTTTGAGACCAGGCTCCTACAATGTTTTTATTGTATTGATTTCAGATCACAAGGCACTGTCAAAGCTACTTTGTTTACACTGAGTCTGTCTGTGCCCTACACTGATCTGCATTCTGCCTTGTAGAGTGTAGAGAGCAACATGCTCTAAGCCCTGTGATGGCAGCTCTTAGAGCATCGGAAAGGAAAATGCAGAAGTAATGGGTTTAGTTGTATGGTGTTCCTGGATATATTAAAAGAGTCAGTGTTTTAGTACAATTATGTTTTAAATGCTGCTGTGTTTGTGATGCAATGGGAGCAGTAATTGTAATTCCCACACCCTACCAACATTCCAGGTACTTGGCACAGTATTAACATTGTTCAAGTACATACCCCTTTTACCATTAAAAATATATTTTGTTTAATTATTAATTTATTGATTTTTTGATTTGTATTTAATTACATACCATTTTAATATTTTAACACCTGATAAATAGATACTACTTTTAACAGTGGTTATCGAGTACAGCATCAATTAGAAATTTTAACTTGACTATAATAAATGGAAATCTGATTGGTTGCCTTTGGCTACTGCAAGTGCATATTACTATTTATCTTTGCGTTGTCTGATCAGAATAATCCTAGTAATTTCTGAGTAGACAATGATATAATTAGTGAACATGAATTCTCAGTTTTTTCCCTCCTAAACAACACCGTATTTCTTTGATGCAAACAATATATTAATTCTTGTCTGCTTGATAAATGTTTGGTTAGTTTAAATAAATATTTAATGAACCTGTGTACCTTTCTTGTGATAACAACATTCACTATATTAATTTCTGCCTATCACCTGTTTTCTTCAGTCACAACTTTCTTCACTGGACATATAGGATATTGTTTAAAGGGAAACAGTTACCTTGCCCATGCATAGGAAAGTGAAAGAGTCTCTAAAAAGGGCATATCCAGATTCCCTTATACTCACCATACCTGCACTACATAATAGAACTTGGGCTATAGGTTGGATTTGATGGACTTATGTTTTTATTCAACCTCAAATACTATGTAACTTTGCTCCTCCGCCTTGCACTCCCCGATATAGTGGCACATGTGACCTGCTCCCATGCGATGGTGTCTGGTCCTGGCAGCCAGTTGCTAGGCCTAAGCATTATCACATGACTGGCAAAGTAACATTATTGCTCCCCTGGGACACCAACACAACGGATGACACAGCCTTTTTAAACGTTGACTGTGGAGATGGAAGGACTTGTGAGGCAATGCGGGTAAGGTGAGTATAAGGGGGTCGGAGGATGCCTTTTAAAGGCAAGCTGATGGTGTTTCTTTAAGGCCCCTTTTACACGAGAAGTCCATTCAGATCCGTCAGTTTTGCAGGCAGATCTGATTGGATGCCCAGTGTAACTCTATGGGCAGCCAGATGTAAATGGACACACATCTATTAATATTTGATTACCCCTGACTCAGTCTAGGTCCAGAAAACACAATAGAGCAGAGTTCCATTGTGGTGGAATAATAATGGATCAGAGGTAATCGGATGTAAACAGACACATTTTCACTTTCATCCAGGCTTCCCATGGCCAATAATGCACATGGCCAAATACATATAATCTGCTTGTTATTACCCTCAAGAAACTTCCAAAATGCAAAAAAAATTTGCATTTTGATGATTATGTGGTTATCGTGCAAAAAAATGCCAGGACAAAGTCCTCTGCCACCCGAAGCGATGATGTTGAGGTACAACCCCCCCTTCCCGCAGCTGAAAAAAAGGAGCTGCAGTGTCTGGGAGCTTCCCAAGCACCTGGATGGCTTTGTAACAACCACTTACAAAGCCATCCACAAGTCTGCCCCGGCTATATCTCAAACCTTGTCTCAAAATATTACCCTAACCGCCCCCTCAGCTTTTCCAAAGACCTCCCCCTCCCTTTTAGATTGTAAGCACTCACGGGCAGGGCCCGCCTTACCGTCTTGTCTTGAATTGTATTGTAATGCCTTCCTTATATTGTAAAAGCGCTGCGCAAACTGTTGGTGCTATATAAATCCTGTATAATAATAATAGTCCAATATTTGTCTTACTGGTAATCACTAGTGAAAAAAATCAGTCACTTCTGTGACAAATTTAAAAAAGACAGGGGTAATCCAGGACAGGGTAGAAGTAGAGGTATACAAGGTTAGAGTGTCCCTATCTTTATGTAAAGTTTTCCATAAATGTGTCAGGGTGCAGATGGTTAACTACAGGGGTCACACACCTCGATCACCTCTAGATACACAATATGCTGTTCGCTCTTACCATTTGATGCTAGTCTCATATTAGCATTTAAACACTAATTATATTAATTGATAAAGGTGTGCTACTTCCTCATCCATACACTTTGTTGTGTGATTTCTCCCATCTTATATGGTTTAATAATATGATAATGCATACCTAGCCCGGCTAATGAAAGAATAAATAAATTGTTTAATACTTTCAGTCTTGCATGTTACCTTGCTGGACAGGCTGTGATTGTGAAAGAAGGAACTGAGAAGCTGATTGTAGGTGGCTGGGAACCAGGACAAGTTGCTGAAGAGAGTGTATAGACGGCATATCCTGTATAAGCACATAAATACAACAAAATATACAACAACATATTAGCATATGTTTGTCTAGAAAGTGGAAGCTCAACAAAGAACATCAAATGGTATTTTCATTACTTGCGGAGTTATGATACAATCATGATACAATAGATAAGATATAACATGACTGATATGATACGGCCCATGCTGGATTAGCTTTACGAAGTTGCTCAAAGATTTAGCACTTGAAAAATGAAATCACAAATGAAAAATGTTAACGCTTTCTTTGAATCATTGGGATTTTAGTTTTTAGAAATTTTGTTATTTTTTTTAGGAGTTTTTAAATGTTATTTTCAAGAATACCTGTAAATTTCTGTAGAATGAATGGTACTAATAAAAATAAAATATTAGTATATTACGGTCAGCTCATAAAGGACAAGAAATACAAGATATAAACCATTACAGTATATTGTAAGTAAATCCCAAAGAGCTGCACTCTGATGCCAGAACTTCAATCAAAATAACTTTATTGCCTCCAACAAGATAACGCTCAGTCTTTCTCAAGGTCTGCTCCGCTCTACCGTGTTTCCCCGAAAGTAAGACCTACCCCGAAAATAAGACCTAGTGCTATCTTCGGGGATTTCTGTAATATAAGACCTACCCCGAAAATAAGACCTAGGTAGGTCTTATATTACAGACATCCCTGAAGATAGCGCTAGGTCTTACCTTCGGGGTAGCTGCACATGTAATTCAATTTCACATTTGAAGACCGGCCGCAGCTCCCTCCCGCCCCCTCGCCCGTCCACCTACCCGCACGCTGTTGCTCTCTGGATGACATCAGAGCGGAGAGGCAGCTCCCTCCCGCCCCCAATAAGACACTGTCTTATTTTCGGGGAAACACGGTAGCATGTTTCACTACAGATGGACTTAATCAAAGGGGTGGAGCATCCTACAGGAACGAAGGTCTATATGCATCTACCCTTGATTCATTATACAAAACACAAAGGATAACTGGAGGAACACAATCGACATATAGAAAACAATTATCCTCGATATCCATAATAATGAGTGATGCATACCATAAAATGTTCCATCATCAATATGCAATAAAAGTTATCAACAATGCAAACAGATTTACAACAATGAATCATACATGACACAAGATGCTACACAGGTGAAAACAAAATATCACAGATATATATATTGTGAAACCCATCAAAATAAATATACATTGCTGATAACTATTTTAGAACTCCGGGGGAAATTATTATTAACCTTTGCAGTGGGGCTGTCTCTGCACTGCAAGGGTTAAGTGCTTGTTTGTGTCTAGGGAGGAAAATAAAAAAATTATACTCACCCGATCCTCTCAGCTGGCTTGATTTTAGACCGCTCCCAAGAGCCTCTTTCCCCCTACATTGCAGAAGTCTGATGTTCCGTGAAATCATCATGTTCTATACATAGTGTATAGAAAGTGAGGACGTCAAGGGACATTCCGATGCTGCAGTGTAGGAGTAGAGAGGCTGGAGGAGCACTGTCACTGCTTGCTGGATCTGAGGATTGGGTGAGTATTACATTGATATTTTCCTCCCTAGACCAAAACGAGCACGTAACCCTTGCAGTGCAGGAGTAACCCCACTGCAAGGCTTAATAATAATTTCCACCTGTGTTCTGCTTTCAGCAATCCATTTCTTTACATAATACTATTATACTTCATTATATTATGGGGATGTTCAGATACCAGTTCAGATACCAGTGCAGATACTTGGCATTTTCACGAGAACTACCAGGGGTGCATCCCAGGAGCCCCGAATGCTCCTTAAAAATGACAGCTGCCTCCTAATTTTTGTGTTTTTCTCTAGTCTCGTCTTGGAGCTGGAAAAGTATCTGTATGTGTGCTTGTACCAGACCTTGGTATCTGTGCATCCCTAATTATATTTAATAATATCAATACATGATTGATGTTATAAAATACTATCCATGCTGGATTATGGTGCTCTACCTTTTGGTACTTTAAACAAACTTTTAATAGATTTCTTGGAATCTTAGGGATACATTCGAAATAATCGGGATCTTTATTTCCAAGAATATCTATAAAATGAATGGTACAAATGAACATGTTATATCTACTCTGCCTTATTCTAAAACCCAAGCTGGTCATGCATGGCCTCATCCTCATAAGTGTTTTCATCTTTCTAGGCATCGAAAACTGGAACTGTGTAGACATTAATAGGAGATATTAGGTGCTTGTTTGCAAAGTGGTGTTTATCTCCTGCTGAGATTGCCAAGCATGCTTGAAAATTAACGATCCTTGTGACACATTAAGGATAATTTCCCAACAGACAAGGTAATGATCATGACACTGTACACAAGCCATTTATGACTGGCTTTCGGTATCAGGAAGTCTAATCATTTACACAGTAGTGTTTTTTCTGCATTATTATATGTCATGAATTACATTAACATTCCCCACAATGTAGTGCACACTGACTGACCAATATGTGCCTACTGTCGTCTGTACTGTAGAAAGGGTGAAGGACATTCATCATATTTATAAAGTAGTGAATGTGACATTCCCCAAATATTTACTGCAGTACTGATCATGTTTTAAAATACAGCGAAAGATTCACTGCCACTGAATATTTGGGAAATGTCAAATTCACTGCTTTATAAATATGCTTCGTATTAACAAGGCATTGTGCTCAGATAATTGCCCAACTTAATATAACTATATCACCCACCTATAAAATATTATTGGGATCACAAAAAGGCTAGTTAGTTTTCCAAATGCGTGGAATACACTTGTCTTTAGTATTATGATGTAATATTATCTGGTTTGTTATGTAACCATGGCACATTGGGGTTGATTTACAAAAGGCTGTTCACTTTGCAAGAAAATGTTCTCTTAGTTTAAAAGAGAACTATGGGCCCACCTTTTTTTTGCCATTGTTCTCTTCAGGGTCACAGGAGGACATATACTAAGGTCCTCCTGTCACCCAAAACTCAGCATATAGCAGGCTGTTTCCCACTATATGCTGACAGCACAGAGTCTCTCTGTGGCTTGTCGGGATACACCCCAATTGCTGATTGACAGCCTCTCTAGAGGCAGAGCCAGTTGTGCACGCCGCCTCCCCATCCGTCCCTCCAGTCAGTGCTAAAGGAACAGGGAGAGGAGGGGGGAATCCCTGTGGGGGTGGTGACTGACAGTCACCGCTCTTTGCAGGGAGAAGATTGGGAACAGAAGGATCGATGGCATGTGATCACTCAGTTCCTGATCAATAGAGCCAACGTGTGACAGTTTCAGTGTCACCTGACAGCACTAATTATGGGGATGAGTGTAATATACTGTCCCCATAATTCTCCTTTAATAAATGTGCTGAACATTCACTTTGTAAATAATACCCAATCATGTGCAAGGACAATACAAAACAGTATTTTTGCTTCCATATGATTGGATGATAAAAGTCAGCAGAGCTTAACCTCATTCACTAAAGTAAAGGGAAATAAAATCACTTGCTAAATGATTAGCCTATTTGCCTTTAGTGAATCAGCTCCACCATGTTTAAATCTATTACAACTGATAGTAAGATTTGCCGAATACTCTGGTTTATCTTCAGATCGTATAAATCTTTCGCCTTTTACTAAAGATTTGCCGAAACAGTATTAACTCCCCAGCACCCTTGCCTAGCAGAGGAATATTCAGTTTTGTAGATTTCAGAAAAGAGCAAGTTTAAGTTATGTAATATGAATGGGAACATGTAACAAATATAATGTAGGTGTTATCCCTATCTGGCTGCAAATGTGGAAAGCGAGAAACAGGCCTAAACAAATGTTGTCTAAATAGAAGAGCCATGCATATTGCTATTGTTCTTTGTGTATTTCTTCCAGATTTGTGCAGTAATTCAGCATGCAGCAACTCTTGTGCTCTGCCTCTGTGCATGAACTTCATAAAGACGAGTAACTTCTGCTCTTTCTCTTTATGCAGAGTGACCGGTCTTGTATGCGCCCCCTTCTGTAATTTTCTGCAGGCAGTCTGTAGTAAGTTGACCTGCTGGGCCCCTGCCACAGCTCTGCTCTCTGCATGGGCTATGTACAGCCCAGTGATTATATAATCACTACTTTTACATTATCTGCATTTGTGAAAGCATTTGGTGCACACAATGTGGATTTATATCCCTTGTGGCTACTGAGAAATATATTTGAAGAAAGGTGTTTGTGTCCGAAGTTCAACTTTAACTAGTGTGGGTGTAACAGTAGGCTAAACCTGAAATTGTATGTCAAAAAACTATATTTATAACTATAAGACTGTTAATAATACGGTAGTGCCATACCCCAGTCATCTGTCCTCCACCCATTATAGATCCTTGAGGCAGATGACATGGTCGATGAGATATTCCAGGCTGCAGTGTTTCACTAAAATCTTCTGTTTTAATCTGTAACATATAGACACATGTTAAAAATATATTGGAAATTATATGGACAAAAGTATTTAATCAACTTCAGAACATTTGATTTTCCTGGCATGTAGAGAGCATTTTGCAGTGAAATCGCAGCTCAGTGGGCCACTGTTTGGGAAATAAAATTGCGGGAGGAGGCAGTAAGGCCCCATTTACAATTGGACCAGATTGCTGATTCTCACGAATTCCCAGTGGCAGCTGTCATTGTATTGTACAGCACCTCCCGCCCACAGCTTATCCCATGAGTCTCACGGAGGAATTCCTGAGACTCAGCAATCTGGCCCAATTGTAAATGTGAAATGGTACCTAAATAATTTCTACTATCTAACAAGATGTCAGTTACATTTCAATTGATGTAGTAACATAATCTGGATATATACAGTACCTCAGTACCATGTGTTGCGGTGAAAAAAGTAATGCATGGTGTGAACTGGTACTAACTTATCACCATGTGTTATGGTGTGGCACAATTTAAAAAAAGGGGTCATGCACTTACTTGGTGTGATTTAGATGTGGTAGAAATCCATTCAAATAAAACACAAAGCAAATAATGTGCGTAAAAGCGCAATGCAATGCTCATGTGATGTCGCATCACACGAGTGTGAACCAAGGCTTAAAATTCTTCAGATTTAATAGGCTCCATTCACAAAAGCACGTTTATAAAAGTCATGGAATTCGAGTGGATAAAACAAACTAGGTATTGTTTCTGCAGCCGACTCTGAGGGCTCCAGTAAAAAAAGACCACTTTTACTGGGTGGTAAATGTGCCGCCTCCTTCCCCCTACCATAGTTCCCAGGCTTTTCCACTCTTCTGCTTTCCTAATATATAAAAAGGATTTGTTTTTCTGCCCATGAAATTCTGAGAGTTACACAGCTTCACCACACAGCACAGCCATACACAGCAGGACAGAAGACCCTGAATTTTCTCTGCTACACCTTGACTAATGAATTAGTCAATTACGTCCCCCTGTTAAAAACCCCAAACATCCACGAACACAAGGACTGTGCAACATGGATTTAAATGGCCACAGCAGCCCTTTATTAATCATACCAAAAATTTACAGTTACCAAACATAATAACCAAAATAGCAAACAAATACATAATCTGAATGACTGTTGGATCCGAGAAGGGGGTCTGTGGGTGCCGATCAGCCAAAATAAGGCCTCTACCACAACCGCTCTCATATACCCAGCTGCACACCCACCAGCTCGAGGACAGTTACTGCTTCCCAAGTTCCAAGGGGCCTGGCCCCCGACAACTACTGACACCAACAGGGGGAGGGAGTACCAGCTGATGGCCCCCCATTTTTTAACCAACTCACATTTCTAGACCCCCAAAGACCCCTTAACCCACCAAGCTGCTGTGACATAAACAACCATTCCAACTGCCACCAACTGAAAAAATTAGGGGAGGGCGAGCGAGACAACCTGCTTCCCCCGTCGATTTTCTGGAAAAACGCCCATCAGCCCTTGCAGTCCTATCCTATGCAGCTCCTCCCTGACACCAGACTCCAACCTCCAATCAGGTAAGATCAACTGATTCCCATTTTATTGAACCCCTTCTCCAAGGACTATTCCTTCCCTGAGTCATGCAGCCCCTCTGCTTATTATCTCTGGGTCTGTCTATAGGTCTTGCCTAGTGACAGACCTCTTGTCTAGTGAAATAAGAAGCAGCACACTAATAAACTAATAATTCTGTCACTCTGCTCTCTGTTCCTTTAAACATGCTGAATTGACATAATTGATAAAAGTATGCATATGGTTCTTTTAAGCACTGAAGGAGTTAAGACTCATTTATACCCAAGTTTACTAACAGACATGGGTGTTTTCTAATAATCCTGCATGTTCCCCACCCACTTCCTTGGCTCTCCCACCTATTTCCCCAAGGAAATGTGACAGGAACCAACTTGGAGAACTGAATACCCCCCAGGGATCACTCCTCATCCATAACATTTCCTTGTAGTACAGGTATCAGGAAATAAATACAGCCAAGAAAAGCAAATGCTGCAGTCATGCCCTGTTGGGCAGCACTCTGTGAAATGTAATTTTATTTGTACACTAAGATTGCCTCAATAAAAAAATTACACTGGGCATCAAATAAATCATTCATATACTCAAATCATTGATGGCAGAAAATATAAATCTTCACACAAACATACTGCAAGTATAAAGAAAGAAACCAAATAACCATCAATTTCTATACTTTGCCCCTTAAAACCATTAACACTGAGCATCAAATATATAATTTATACACAAATCAAGAAACAGGTGGAAAGTAGAAAATATAAATCTAAACATAAAGAAATGTACAGCAAGTTCACGTACATAAAAAGGGCCATTATTTAGTAAACACTTTTATGACTGGCTGTCATTTTAAATGACTTCAGGAAACCCTCTGAGGGGAATTTATCAAAACTGGAACAGACAGAATCTGGAGCAGCTGTGCACAGCAACCAATAATTTCCAAAGCTTAACTGAACAAACTGAAGAAAGAAGCTGATTGGTTACTATGGAAAACTGCACCAGATGCCTCCTGCTCCAGTTTTGATAAATTCCCTTCTCTGTGTCCTAAAAATTGAAGTATTCTATCAGGCGCAGTGTCATGTACACCTGTATTCATGTGGTCATGCTGTCACAAGAATACCGATCAGACTTGTAGGCAGGGTTTAGTCACTATTGCTCTTGCTGTCCCCAACACTAGACAGTCCTGAACCACTGATTAAAGAGTTAGAGGCTCTATCACTAGAGGGAATGGGGCAAACTTCTGCAGGTATGAAGTGAACATCCCAAGAGGTACCTGTAAATACCTGCAGCACCCTCCCAAACCTTCCTGTCACAACCGAATAGCAAGCCACATTGACAGGTAACAATAAAAATATGTAAGTTTAGGGCTTTGGAATTTTGCCCATTAGTACCTCCCAGGATTCACTAATGATAGAAAGGTTTAGGAGGCTGCTGCAAGTATGTTCAAGTGCCTCTAGGTGCCTGCACTTAATTCCTGCAGAAGTTTGCTCCCCTTCCTTCCTATGACAGTGTTTCTTTGGTTTGCTAACCAAGGACACAATACTGACCCAACCAACAAACAAAAATAGAGCCACTCCATGTATGGGTGAAACATCTTTAAATTAAGTAACAGTAATTCATTACTAAAAATCCAATACACTTATTGCCAACTTTATTACATTACAAAGGCAGCATAATTATTAATTAAATAGAAAATCCCCACATTAAATGTTATCAGACAAAATCTGATTCTATTGAGTAAAAATGAGTTTCCCCCACCCCTTACGGACCATATTGTACAGACTTTGTAGTGCACAGCTATTATACTTTCCTCTAGCTGAGGATCCTCCTGGGACCACTCACGAGTGCTGTGGGCAGCTAGGACTGTTGAATCAATGTATATATACAAAATAGAAAAACTAGTCTTACTTTCGGGGGCTAAAAATTTTTAATATGTGCGTGGCAATAGGAGATATACCGCTGCCGCAAAAAAACCTGCACATTTCTGAATCACAGCAATGTGCTTCACAGGTAGATTTAGCACTTCCCTGGTTTTGGGGCTTTAAAGCCAGCAGAGCACTATTCTTCTGACTGGAAGTAGAAAAACAGGGAGGAGAGCCCAGTCAAGTAACCCTTCAAAGAGATTTGACCAGCTGCCCTCTAGTCATGGAGTTCTCTCTGTTGGCTTATTTTATGAATAGGCCATAAAATGCAGGCCGCAGTGTGGAGAAACATTGTGGTGTTTAGCAGATTACTTTATTCACAGTGCATTAAAAATGGAGCCCTAAGACACTTAAGTACTCTTGTATGCATGTATGCACCTGCATTTGCACATATTGCAGTCTGTAGTCTGATGCTTTGGGGCATGGTAACACACACACCTGAGTGCGTTTGTGCATGTTGATACCAATTGCCCTATTTAAAGCTCAGCACTGCCTAGGAAAAGTGCTAAGTAGTTGCTCCCGTGACCCATGACCTGACCTGTGCTTCTGTTATCCTGTGTTTAACCTGGCATGCTTGACTTTTGTACTTGTATCTCCCACTGCTGACCTTTACTTGTGTCCTCACTTTGCCTTCTGCCTGCTGTCTTGGTTCCTCTGCTGCCTGACTGATGTCAACTGTGGCCTGGACTCTAACTTTACTTTTACTTTCCAATTTGGTACCTCTGCTGCTTGGATGAATCCTGAATGTCCTGACTACAATTCTTCTTCCTGCTACAGGGTGTTCCTGTGCCCAATCTGGGAACCAGAGTTGTACACAGATCCAGTTCAAACCTCTTAAGCACCTAAGCAGCGTTCAGAATATCTCCAGATCATCTGCTGCATCCGGACCCACCATGGGCATCCATCACCAATTTCTTGGTGTATTGGACAGGAGGTGTAAGGGAAACCCTCTTGTTACCTTGACCTTCAACAAGTATGTGACAGCACCTATCTAACCATATCTGTGCATACAACTAACCGCAGTAACATGCTCTGGTGTTTATTTAAGAACTGGGATAAGAGAAGTTGATGGGCAGTCATTAGTCTTGGCTTGTGGTAATAATAATAATTTCAACCGTAAATGAAAAAATGTTTTCAAGTGGAAAATTCATACATAGAAGATAGGTAGCAGATGTAGATACTGCCTTAAAAATCAAGAGAAGGTGGAAATTGCTCTCATTCTATATTTTACTGCCCTGTGCTAAACACCTCATTCCAGGCTTGTTTGGAGCTGTGGATCCTGGTTAGTCAGGGTAGGGGAGACAACGGGACTGGGAAAAAAATAACAATTATCGTTCGATTTCTTTTGTCCCATCATCGAAAATGTTGTTCGATTTCTGCACGACTGCCCCATCCTGCTCAGACCCATGTGGATTTCAATTATCGTTTGTTAGTAATACTAACTGACCGAATTTCCTTCGATAGACAAAACTGATTTTCGTTTGCGCATGTGCAGTGTTTTTTTTTAGTACAAAAACTCAGCTAATCCATCGATTTTCGTACGATTCTAAAAAAGTTTTCTAGCCTGCCCGATAGATGAAATCCGTCTGGTTGTACAGTAATAGTGATTGATGACTTCCCATCAACTGGCCGATTATCATACGAAAACCCAATTTCGTTTAGAAATCGAACAATATTCGCATGGTGCATGGGCACCTTTAGACGTTACTGCAGAACACATATATAAATGTATGTGCACGATCTTAAGACTGTCAAAACCTTCAGCAAACAGCACTTTCATTTATAATTTCATGACCAGACTGAAACCCTCCCACTGTGAGCTACAGTGTTTGGGAGGGGGAGCATGTGAAGCAGAAATAAAGGAGAATTTGGCTCAGTCAGGAAGGGTAAAGGAATATTTTGTTTAATTTATGAGGCTTCTGCATCACATTGCAACTGGATTTTGCACTTGCATAGACTGCCAAATTGGAGCCTTTAGTTGTAATTTAACCTAAATCAAGCCTAAAATGTAACACTGTAAAACCTTATTCTAACCTTAATTCATAATTTGCGCTCTATCTGTAATTTAATGGCGTAAACCTTATCCAGTCCTGTGCCAAACACAATAGCACTAAACCTCAATATTTTGATGTTATACATGTACTGGAAGCCGTGTTGCTATGAATATTTATGACCACAGAAAAAGCACCATAAAAATGGCTTGTTTAGTCATAAAGTTGTAAAACTATAGCATACAATAGAACACATATATATGTTTTTAGAAAACATTTCTCGACTTCAGTATGTGTTGTGTTTTATAGAAACTTGTTTGTCCTTGTTTAATTCTATCTTTTGTTTATTTCTTCCCATAAGAAAAAAAACACACAAATTGCACATAAAAAAGAAATGGAAAGTGGTAAAAGCCTATATAAGCTTTTACTGCCTTATTTGCATGATAAAGATTCCGCTACAAAAACTGCAGACACAAACAGCCTGTGCAGGCTTGCTTGAGCTTCCAGAGAAAAATAAAGAACTCTCCAAAGACAATCAGTTTACTAAAACCTCTAAAAAAAACGTAATTTGTGTGGGCTGCAAACTCATGTAAATAAAAAAAAAAAAAGATAATATTAAAAATCAAGGAATATGCGCAGACTTCAGGAAAAATCGCATTGGGAATATTGGTGCAACGGTTTAAAATACTGAATGCTAATTTATGCTTTAAAGAAAACCTGTGATTTAAAGGCCCCCCTCTTAAGCGGCCTATGTTGAACCTTTCACTCTAGGGAGTTCAGATACCAGTGCCGATACTTGGCATTTTCGCGAGAACTACCAGGCTTGCAGCGGTTGCAGCTGGGACCTGGCTCTGGCGCTCCACCACTGTCCTGGGATCATTAGTCTGAACTGTTTTAGAAAAACTGTCACATGACACAAAACAACAACAATTAATCAGTACTTGTACCTGTGAGTACCTGGACAAGTATCGGTACTTGTATTTGGAAAAATGGTATTGGTACATCCCTTATATATATTTATATAAAAAAAAAATCATACAATAAAACAGAGATGTACAAATCCCAGGAGCTCCGTGTGCTCCTTAAAAATGACAGCTGCCTCCTAACTTTTGAATTTTTCTCTAGTGTAGTCTTGGAGCTGGAAAAGTATCGGTACTTGTTCTTGTTGGTACTTGGTATCTGAACATCCATATTTCACTCCCCATGCTACTCACCTGCTGGAAGGGAGGAAATACCTAATACTTCCAGGTATGCAGGAACATGTAACTCACTCCATGTAATAACGCTAGTGATTGGTAATTGGCTGCACACTGTGCCATTAGGGCAGGGCCATAGTCCCTAGCCCTGTGTAAGCTCTGATAGGAGTGACCCAGCTGGCACAGGGCTCTCTTTCTTCAATCTCTGTGGCTGAAGAAAGCAAGTGGGGGCAAAGCAAAAGTAAGTATGTGCAGTTGGGAAGGGGAGTAATAAAGTACAGATTTGGTTTAAAGCATAAATTAGTGTACAGTGTTTTAAAAGGTTAAAGTGATATAAAAGTCAAAATGCTTTTTCAAATGCTGATGAAATCACTTACAATTGATGCTGCTCCTTTATATTTAAAAGTTTTAGTTTCCTACAGAATCAGCTGGTCCCCTGAGCACTGGCCCTAAAATCCTTTTTTAGGGTGACCACCCTTGTGTGTTCTAGAAAGCTGAGTGTGTCTCCACAAGCACACAGGCACAGCAAGGAAAGCCACTACCCTGCTTCTTGCCCCCCTCATCTCCTTTCTCCCTTCACAGAGTTATTAGATGTATTGTTGTTGGAGACTGTGCTGTCCCTTGTGATTGTGTATTTGACAGGAAGTTTAGGGAAGCCAAGCTTAAAGAGTTGGAGCTGTTTGTAAACATGATGACTGTAAGTGCTTGGGCAAAAATGGAAGAAATACCTTGCTGGGCAATGTATATTTGCTTGATCTGAATTCATTACTGAAAAAGGTTTGAGAATTTACTACTACTTTAAGTACCAGCACAGTGTACCGTAAAGTACAGCATGGGCAAGGCAAAGTGGGGGGGAATTTATCAAAACCGAAACAGACAGAATCTGCAGCAATTGCCCATAGCAACCAATCAGCTTCTCTCTTCAGTTTGTTCCGTTAAGCTCTGAAAATGAAAGATAGAAGCTGATTGGTTACAATGGGCATACGGCTCCAGATTCTGTCTGGACCAGTTTTGATAAATTCTCCTCAGTGCCTCTTTCATTTCTGCTGACAAGTGCAGAAGAACCTTTAGTTTGGCTCAGTGGTAATCGGAGATTGGTTTGCAGCATTTAGGTTTTTTCTTGTGTGACAAGTATGATGTAGAGGGTTTTAACCTCAGTGCTTGGCTTCTGTATACATAACGGGTTACTGTACTAAAGGAGTCCAGAATCTTTACTTAAAGCTGGACTCCAGCCTTAGCTTTTTTCCCACACTTGTAGTAAGTTCTCTTCTATGCTGAAACTGATTATCCTCAATTTCCTGCAAACTTGCATGTCCACTATATAAACCTGCAACAGCTACCAGGCCTTGTTCACACCAAATGCAGAGCAGATCTGCATGAGTTTCTGCACACGAAGTGCAGTGGGTTGTGCCGCGTTTTTGCCGCTGCAGTCTTTTTACCTGCTCTGAAAATGAACGCTGCAATGTGAACTGGAGCTAAAAATACAATTGGAATGCATTGGATGCAGTTTTGATCCGGTCTGTAACTGCTCTGCTCTGCACCTGCTCCGTGCTAGGTGTAAACAAGGCTTTAGCCGACTTTCATTTCCTGTCTGAACTACCTCCATCGTTCATCAATCACTTCTCCTGATCTGTACTGTCGTTGGCCCCCCTCTGGCAATTGTTAGCTTTATCTGCCATCAATCATTTTGTTCCTGAGCTTTATGTAAAAAGAATAATTCCCGGCATCCCTTTAGATGTGCCTGCAACCAATTAGCAGACTGCACAGCTAAAGTCTGGAGCATCCAGTGGTCAGCAAAGAGAAGCAGACACATCTAAAGGGATCCTGGGGATCTGTTTATTCATATCATTATTTTGAAAAATATCCAAGGCAACGTGCTATGATGTTCACAGGAGCCTGTCAAACACTCCCACCCAACGTAGAGCAAAGAGCATGGACCCAAGAATCATATTGCTGGGCCCAAAAACAGGTATTTCTTGAAAAACACAATGATTTGATTGACACATCTTATTTGCATTTTGAATGGGGGAACAAAGGAAATAAACAGGAATTTGTTTTTCACATGATTGGATCATTCTCAGCTCCTTTAGTGACTCAGCTCAAATTGTCCTACTCTCAGGATTATCTGGAAACATGTCAATCTTAGTTCTAAACTGCAGGCCACATCAGTTCCTCAGGATCATAAACTTTGTAGTATGGAAAAAAAGGAAGGGGCACAACTCTGCCCCAGCTATATTTCCAACCTCGTCACAAAGTATCACCCTGACCGTCCTGTCTGCTCCTCCCAAGACCTCCTGCTCTCTAGCTTTCTCATCAGCTCTAGTCTCCAGGACTCCTCTGGAACTCCCTATCCCAACCTCTCCGGCTATCTCCTACTCTGTCTGCCTATTGGCGATCCTTGAAAACTCATCTGTTCAGAGAAGCCTATCGCACCTCTACCTAACCGATGAATGATTACTTTCTAAAAATAACTCAGCTACCACCTTTTATTTCACTTGTCCCTCCTATTTAGATAGCAAGAATTGTAGTTCCTAAACATTAACCAGTTGACATCCGCGGTGTTAAACCCCCTTCCCAACATACATGGAGACCAGATTACTATTTCAGTGGCCTACCACAACCTATAGAATCATTGCTATATGTTGCTTGTTGTTGCTGTGTTATAACATTGTACTATAAAGCATTGTAAATACCATTGTAAATATTCAGGTTCTTTCTAGCTTCGGCCCCAGGACCCCTTCGGTGATCTTACGGCTGGCTCCGGCCACTTGCAGTGAGATCAGCGTCAGATCTTAGTTTTTGTATTCCTCCTTTATATGCTTCCTTCTAGAGCCCCTTAAATGCTCCCCGGCATAGGTGCAGAATCTTGATCCTGATACACGACTACAGAGGACTGCTCAGTAAAGTATTTGCCTAACCCCTCATTAATGTAGATGTAAGAATACCAACTGAATGCAGCCAAGGTGATGGATGTACATTACATCCACTTCCCATGTGTATGAAGCCCCATGTTGAAGAAACTTCCTACTAAGTCAAAGGTTTATGCAGATATTCTTTTCTTTGCTTAGTTGACATTGTACATACCTGTCTGCTGAAATCCAGGCTGTTGCGCTCACCACCTGAAATTAAAGCACAGATAACATTTTATGTAGATGGAGCTTCTTCAGACAAGTGTACATGTAGAATGGTAGAATGCAAGAAAATGGGTTCATTATAAATCAGCTAATTTTCTTATTTTGTCTTTAACCTATTTTTGTTTTAGAAAAGAACAGCTTAACATGTGTATGCTGTGTTTGCCCCGATCAATCCTATGTAAAGGTCTGACTCTGTGCACTAACCCAGTATGAACTCTTCATAGGATTATATTTTATTAGGCCAATGTACTAAAGGAGTTGAGAATCTTCACTCAATAAATTGTGTCAATATTCATTTTAGTTATTAAATCATGTGAAAAGCAGATTTATGTTTACCTATTTCATCTTCACATCACTGGGTATTTCAAGGTAAACAGGAACTTGTTTTTCATGTTTTGTTATAAGAATTGAATATTCACCCAATTTATTAACTGAAGATTCTAAACACCTTTGGTAAATCAGCCTCACCACTTTCCAATAAACTAACAAAATTAAGAAATATATTTAAATGTGAGGAAACATGTTTTTTTTAAACATATTTTATTAAATTTCTTCAAAATCTTAGTTGTACAAGCATTGTAGAAAGTTGTGAAAAACAGGTTACAACACATAACTGGTCCTAAGATACAGAACCAACTTACATTTAACCTTTAACTACTATTCACTAGTCGCCCCCACAAAATAAATACAAGATTCTGATTATAATAATCAAAGTCAAAGTTTCACAACAGCAATGAGGCAAATATGCAAGCACTCAATGCCTCTGTGCTTATTGGGGCCAGGTCTGCCCTCCAAAGAATTGGATACACTGAACAAATAGAGAAGAGGGTCCAGTGGAGGTGTCCAAGCAACAATGTCCATTACTAAAACCGATATTTGGTGCCAAAAAGTTTGTATGACTGGGCAAGTCCAGTAGCAATAGGCCAATGTTGGGCACAAAAGGCCACATTTCAGGCACGTGGAAGTCAATTGTTGCGGAAAAGTAAGTCACATATGCCCGATGGATTATTTTAAATTGGGTCTCCCTCCACAACTCATTGATATCCAGTCTCCTAATAGTGTTATAGCCCTGTATTAGGTTATCGACTATATAACTTAGGAAACGTGTTTTAATCTGAGGAATGCTGGTCAAGAAATAACATTCAAATCCAAACTTTGTTTTGTTATATTCTAGCATACTTTTCCAACAAAATGGATTTTTGCCTTCAATCTTGATCAGTGAGTTTTTTTAGATGCGACTGGACATGGATTGTATACTTATACTGCACCACATCCTTTTCATATAAATATACTATCTGCACAACAAGTACTGGGACTTTTCAGGTGCTACAATGGATTTACACAGACTTACCAATTTATAAAACATAATATTTTATCACAAATTAGAGCACATTCCAAACAAATATCTGCTACATCTCTTTAGATATATCATAACAAGCCACTCCCATGTTGAGCTCCTAATGACCCAATCAGTGGTTATTTTCCAAAATTTTGCTCATTGCTCATCACTGGTTTCCACCATGTCTTGATCAATGAATTTATCATCATCAACAGCCCAGTCCCTTGTAATGAATGAAAATGCACCTAAATCATCAATTCCACAAGAAAAGAAAAAATATCAAATGTGTAACAAAGGGGTCTATTCACTAAGCTACCGTAGGCAGCCGAGTGAATGACTGGCCTAAAGCGAAGTGAGCCGAACACTGTTCGGCTATTCACTTCAGGCTGGTACGGCTGATTTCAGCCGTACATCGGGTGGCTTCGGGTCTGCCGAACATGCTCAGCATGTTCAGCCAACCTGAAGTGCAGACGGAGTTCGACTCAGCCGATCCAACATCTGGATCCGCTAAGCCGAACCTCCGGCAGGCTACTCGCTGCTGTTCGGTCTATTCTTATAGATGCCGAACAGCAGTGAGTGAATAGCCAAATGACGCTGAGCGGCATTCACCTCCTCTGTTCTGCTCGGTCCCTCAGAGGGACCGAGCAGAACAGAAAAATAGTTTAAAAAGTAGAAAAAAATAAATAGAAAACGATTGTGCAGAGGTAGCAGTGACAGCTAGTTCCGCCCAACTGTTTTCCATTGGCCGGCGGTTCTGCTGCCGTCAAAAAAAGAAAAAAACTCTCCCGGGCGCTCCGGGAGTCTCCCGCTCCCGGCCGCCCGGGAGAGAAACACTGCTTTTTCTTTTGCAGTCTGGAGATCAGTGTCCTTGGTTAGCTGGTAACCAGGGACGCTGATCTCTCTGCAAGTGGCCCGGAGCCAGCCGTAACATCACGGCTGGCTCCGCCCAGCTGTCAGAAGCTACGGCTACATCCTTCGGCTGCTTCGTGAATAGACCCCAAAGTTTAAAGACACCTAATTATGTAGCAGTGTTAAAGTACAGTAAATAGATGGGAATTGTGAGTATCCAGGAATGCAATTGTCCTCTTTTAGCAACTCCGGATATAATAAAAGCAAGTCGCCTGGCTCTTCTCGAATCTCTGGTGCATGTGTAAAGGGTATTTTCCTAAAATTTCAACAAAATATTTTTTAAGTGCTTATGCAGATTATGCCAACACATCCATTCCCGATGACCATCTAATTTTGGAATTCTATAATTTGTTTAAAAAAAGTAATTATTATTTGCGCACTTTGATTCATTAGCTTAATAAGCATAAAACTAGATTTGAGTTATGATAGACACTTTGCACTGCACTGATATTAAGACATTTTTTTTAACATTCTGAACTGTGATGTTATCAAGTGCGCAGCAGGGAAAAGACGTTCAGCTTTCTTCAACGTTGTCTTGCATGATTGCTCACCAGCATGAAGGACAGGCATGGCTTCATTTAATGTGAAAATAGGAATGTGACCAGCAGAATCCTGATACGATGAAGTGGACAAAATGCATAAGTATAAAGTCTAATGAGTCATAAAATCATAATTTACCATGCATGTTCAACCATGTTATTGGTAATGCAGCCTTTTAGATGTGTGTAAATGAATAGAAATGATGGACTAATAAACAAATAGCAGAGGCAACAACCACTGAGAAGCCCATAACCTAATGGCTAAAAGAGAACTTCATACACACATGCTTGTTATGTTGAGTAAGTCATTTGTGTGAATTGTAGGTATTATTTATAATGAGGAAATAGCTTGGAACATTGGTTCACATTTTGCTCTGAGGCGAAAATGAGGTTGGCAACATTCCTGGAATGAACATAATTTACTGCAGTTAGACAACTGCCAATATGGATGATGTAGAACCGGAAGACATGAAATCATCTTCCATGATCAATGATCTGTCAGTATAATCACATGTAATGAAACAAAGTATATTTGTTCAGTTTTTTGCTCTCTTATGAGTTTTTCATAATATTCACCTTCTTACATAAATAGTGCACTGTGCAGGAATAGCATCTACCTGCCATGGAAGAAGATTGATTGTGCAAGCATTCTTGTAAGAAAGTAAGGAAAAGCAAATCCTCTTTTTAACATTGAGCTCGTTTTCTGGATTCTCTTGTTCTTTCGTCTGCTTCCAGCTGTAACCTTTGTCTATGTTATATATTTACTTTACCACCCCTGAGCTGAAAGACCCGTGGTGGCTGCCATTGGTGATTTCACCTGAAAACGCTAGTTGCTTGGCTGCCATCATGCTGAAATCTTGTTTTTGGGACTTTTAAAGTCACTGATCAGGAATGTAGATTAGGACTAGTCATTTCAATCTGACTTTTCTTGCTGCATGAAAACTGTCACAGTGAGTTGGAGGCCTGTTTGTTTAGTGCCATAACACAGCCTTACTCAACCAGGGTGCCTTCTGCTTCAAAAGCTTCACACAGCTTCATGTGTTTCCATGGTGCAGACAGGCTGCCAGGGATGCATTCAGAAAATGACGGAAGTGTACAGGTCACATACAGTGGGTTGGTTTGATGTAAAGGGGTTAATGTAAAAAAAAAAGGCAGATAACATAAGCAGGAGAGAAGGTGGTCCAAGGTTTTAAAATTATATGGAACTTTTTTTGTGTTTTTTTTGCTGCTGCAGCTTGTTTTCACTAGGAAGTAATAAATGGATGACTCGTGCATTCATTACTCCCTTTACTCTCTCCTGCCTCCAATGTAAGAGGAAAGGGAAGGGCTTGGCAGTTTATATATTGTCATGGTGATTGCTGTGATAACTAATCAAACTGGTCCGATCGGCTCTGTGTATGAAGCAGCTGCTCTTCACGTGTAGCAAAAGCAGAGGTCACGTGTACTCAGGTGGCCACAGGAGGACAAATGTACAGTGATCGGTGCAAAGGGAACTTTAAAAATACTCAGGAAAGGAAAATATTCGAACTGTGAATGATAATTTGGGTTGACACAAGACAGGAAGCACTGAATGTGGACCCCAGCTTCCTAAATCAGTTTTATGACCATTCATCTATGACCCCTTCCAAATTCTACTCTTTCTCAAACTAACATTCTCTGTTTTTTTTCAAGGGATTGTTGTCTTCTAATATTTCTCCCTAATATTAAGCTCAGTCTATGTGTATCGTTACTGCTTTGACAGAGAAGAAGGGGGTAGAAAGCCCCCCAAAAGTTTGTGCTGAAAATGTAACCGTTAGTGCAGAATAAAAAAGTATATTTATAAAAAATAAGGAAAAGGTGTACAGCAAGTTCACCATTTGGTGGGGATGAAAAGAGTATGATGACAATAACACAAAATAAATATATTTGTTATTTGCTGGCCACTTGGTTTACACTAAAACTATTTATAACAAATAAAGGAGATATACTGTAGATTATATACAATCAAATCAGAGCATGGCAGTAAATAGTCAGTCAGGTGTTCTGCAGTGCTCATGTGCACTAAGGAGCATGCAATAAGGAGCATGTGGGTAGGAAGAGAGAACAGAGTGAGTCTACTGCTTCCCCTTTTACTGTCCAATCCCAGGCTGGGGGAGGAACAAGACCCGAAAGTGTTTAACTGCATTAGAGGAAAATCAGGTCCCCTATCATGCTAGACA